TGGGGGCGTGGCTCAGTGGTAGAGCCCCTGTCTAGAATCCCCCAGTGAGGGGCTGGGGGCCTGGCTCTAAGTTTAATATCAACACTACATGGCAGCAGTACCCTCATCTACTGATTTGATCACGAGATGACCCTGAGTCTCTGTCCCTTGCTCCAAGCTCCAAAAAGCCATTCCCATCTCCAGGTTTCCAGTATAATTACACCAGTCACCAAAGGGACAGCGTTCATGTGGCATGTGTGCCATCTTTATTATTGAAGCATTTGGTGGATTATACACAGGTTCATGTCATCCTGCCTGCTCAGTGCCCAGGACCCCTGAGGGAAGGCACCGACTCCACAGAAGGCCTGACTTACTGGTAGATGTGTTTGTAGGAGAAAAGCCAGCTGGGGACAGTGCCTCTTGCTTCCTTAGTTCCTCACTTCCCGGGGATTTCTCTTCAGGGCCAGACACTGGGTAATAAGATTAGTGAGTGGGGGTGGAGTGCCAAGGGGACAGAGAAGAAGAAAGGATAGTGACGATCCCAGATGATCACAGCAGGAACACATCCCCCCAAAGTGGGGCTCGGGATGAGTTGGACGGTGGCAGGTGGCTGGCCTTGGAGAAGGGGACATTGTACGGTCATCAGTACAGAGAAGACTGCCTCTGGCCAGACACAGGGTTTTTAAATGATTGTGTGGGCAGCCACACCCATGTGTGTGCCCAGGGAGCTGCCTTAGAAGTCACAGGAGACTTAGCAGCTGAACTGCAGAGGCCAGTGAAGCTGTAGGTCTTCCTTGGGTTCCAGAACTTTCCACTGCAGCTACCTCCAATATCAGTGCTTGAGGGTCACATAGTCTACATCTTCCTTGGCCTCAGGCCGCTTCCCAGCCCCAAACTGCACCAGCTCTGAGTAGTGGATGCTGTCGTCTTCAGGTCAGCTTGGAGTCACATTCTCATAGTCACCCTGCAAAACACGACAGGAAGCCAGGCCTCACGGTGACCAACCTCCATCCATTCTCTTCCAACGCCTTCTCTCGTTAGTCCCCCACTGCATGGGGCCCAAACGTCCAAATGGGGTCATCTTGTGTACAAATGGCTATTCTCTTCGCCTTAGACACCTGTCTTGGCTCCCACCCCGGGTCTCTGCCCGAACAACTGCTGTGGTCTGAACGTGTCCCCTGAGTTTCGAGTGTCAGAAATGTAGGAGGTGATTAGATTGGTGATTCATAGATAACAACGCAGAGATTTTTTTAGGGAGTTGGGTTCTCTCTGACATACGTCCCCTGGCCATGAATGTTTTGTGTCACCTCAGGACTCTGCCACCAGCAGACACAGCTCCTTGGTCTTGGATTTCCAGAACCAACCATAAGCCAAATACACAGCTCTTCCCTTAATAAACCAGCACGGGTATTCAATTATAGCCGTGGAAAATGGACTTAAGACAGCCACCCTTCCCAACTTCACCATGTGGCAAGTGTGTCCATGAGGGGCTCTCAGTGGGGGCCCCGGGTCCCCCAGCTTTCTCTAGCTCTGCCCGCTTACCATATGACGCTTTTGTATCACTGAGTAAGTGACCGTGTCGTCGT